GACGAGCCCAGCAGCGCAGCGAGCTTGCGTTCGTGCAGCTCGTTGACCTGACGTGCCAAAGCAGCCTTCCTCGCCCGCGCCTCTAGTGAGCGCGAGCTCCCTCCGAACGGGGTCTTGTTGCCAGCCCGTGCTGCTCGGGCGGCTGCTTTCCCCATCTGCCTGAGCTGGTTCTTCTCTGCGGCAGACAGCACGGCGTACGCCTTCGCGAGCTCGGCGAAGTCGGGCGAGCCCTTCCTGCCCAGCGACTGCTGCCGAACAAACGCCCGCCAAGCGCCCCCGAAGCCGAGGAACCGCTTCTTGACTGGAGGCTTCCTGTCGACCTGCGCCGTCCCCATGCCCTTCATCGCGCAACGTCCAGGCCCGCTGCGAAGTCGGCGCACTCGCGTCCGAAACCGCTGGCATGTCCTCAAAGCAGACAAGCGCCCAATGTGCATTGGGTGGGTCTGCACGCTCAGCGCGGCGAGGCTCCTTCGGATGGAAGCGTGGCTGGACTCGATGCTGCAGGTCTCGCGCTGGACGTTGGCGGCGACGTGCGTCAGCTCCGCGATGAGGTCTGGGCGCAGCAAACCCTGCTCGGTCTTCGCGTACTTCTCGATCAGCTCCTTGCTCCAGCCGTCCTTCATGTCCTCGCAGTCGCTCTCGATGTCGGCCGCGCTGTTCCCGTCCAGCAGCCTGAACATCTTGAAGGGATACATGGTGTGGAGCACTGACATCTCGTGGCAGAGGCAGCCGATATCGCTCAACATCAAGAACGCCGTGGTGCGGAGGGCGTGGGTCCTGAGCGCAGGCACGATGGTGACCCATGGCGATGGAGTCAAGATGGCGCCCTTCAGGCACTGCCGGAAATCACCTTCGAAGACGCGCCTGCACGCGGCAACCATCGGAAACAGCTTGTTGGTGGCATCGGGCCCGCTGCCCGCCGCCGCCTGGAGCTTGCGATACTCCATCTCGCAGTCGTGCTTGATGCCTGCCTGGCCGAGGTATCTGTACATCATCTGCACGAGCGGCCTCAAGACCACCCTGATCACCATGAGCCGCGCGCCGACGTCGCCCTGGTGTAACCATCTGGCGCCCCACCATCGATGGATCGAGTCCTCCTTCCTGCGCTCGTCCTCGGTGCTCTTCTGATGGCCGTCGCCGCCGAAGTGGCTCTCGGGCGGCCGCGCACCGTCTGGAGCTCCTGCGCAGTCAGCCCCACGCAGGCCAGAGCTGCTGCCGCCTGGGCCTCTCTCCAGGCGCAGCGCGTCGGCGAGAGACTCTCCGACCCTGAACGCTTCAACCTTTCAGTCGACGGGGGGGGGGTGCCAAAAACATGCCAGGGACCCCCTGAGCTTGAGCCCCACAGGGGCTCCCGAGTGGCCGCGGACTGGGCGGGGGTGGGGGCGGGCGTGGCTTGGAGTAGGAGGGGTGAGCAGTCCGAAATCTAAGGTTTGATGGCAGGGGTTCGGGGCCAACTGATTTGTCCCGCTGGCCCATTCTTCGTCGTCGTGCTCATCGTCGTCATGGTTACTGTACCCCCTCACCACTGCCCTCCCCCTCCAGCTCCTCCAACCCTACGTGGACCTACCCTCCCACCCACCTCCCGCTTCCCTTACACCCCCCGCCACCGTCGGGGCATTGCTTGTTGGGGGGAGGGGGGCACGGGGCTCAACTGGATGAGGGCCGACATCCCATTGGCACGATTTTGGCAACGATGCTGCCCCCACCGCCCACGTCCTTGACGCCAGCCCACCGCACGAAGACACGGCTGAGCAGGCCGTGGCACGACTCCAAGACGCCCATCCAGTCGACGCTGTGGTCGAACCCCGTCCACCTGGCAGACGGCCACACCGTCGGGTCGGTCGCGGCGACTGCAGCCACGAAGAGCGTCGTGAACTTCGAAATGCAGTCGGCGCGAGACATGCAGCACCCGTCGCAGTAGTGTTGCACGCACCCCCTGGAACGAAGCTCATGGCGCGCCCGCTCGCTCTCCTCAGCTACCTAGGTCCAGTACCCCAGCCCCCTTCCCGAACGCCCGAGGCCACGATCGGGCCGCAACCCATCAAACGAGACAACTTGCACCACCTCCAAAAAACTGCCTGGACGGTGGCTACAGCCTGGAAAAAAAAACACTCGCATGTTTTTAGCTCGGGGGATGGGCGGCTCGAGAGGCGGGCGCGACATGAGCTTGCGTTGCCGCTGCCTCTTGGTCCAGTCCCCGTTCGCCAAGGAGAGGATGATGCAGCGCCGAAGTCGCCGATGGGCAGACGTCTCCTCCAGGAAGAGGTCCAGGCACTTGATGCTGTAGGCGGTGTCCACTGGCGACGGCGCCATGTCCGCGTAGTAGTCCAGAGACGCATGGAGTTCTTGCCTGAGCGCAGCCCTGAATGACCTCATGCCGTCATGCCAGCGCAGCGCCTTCGCAACGTGAACCATGCAGGTGGTGTCGGCCTTCATGTGGTAGAATGCGCACTTGTGCCACTTGTGAATCATGTGCACCTCGCACTTGATCTTCATCGTGTTGCACTGGTCCCCCTTCTCGCGGTCCAGGTTGCGCTCCATCCTCGTGATCCCGCCTGCGCCGTCAGTGCAGACCAGCCGCTGTCGTCGGTCGAATCGCTGCGGCACTTCGTGCATCGGCGGCTGGCTGGCCTCGAGCGCATCGTAGATCACCTCGCCCGTGGTCCTGGCCATCGACTGGACGGGCACCTCGAGCGGCACGCGCACGGCGAAGTACCCGACGTCGGGGAGGTGGAACAGCATCGAGTAGAGGCGCTGTGTGTTCAAAATATTGGCGACGTGCGCGCTCGAACAACTGCTGGAGATTGGCACCAACTTCACCTGTCCGTTGTCTGGCGCGCCCGTCATTGGCAGCACCACGTCCGTCACTGGTGGAGCCTGCTTCTCGATGTCCGTGAGTCGCATGTGCATCGGCGTCTCGTCGTACCTAGCGCTCTCGGCCCAACTCAATGCTCGGCCTCCGCGGGCGACGATGGAGTCCACCAGCTGGCGAGCCATGTCGGCAACGTCCCTGTTCTGCAGCAGCGAGCAAGCAGCAGCAGCCGCCTTCAGGACAGTGTCGGCGCCACGTCGGTCCACACCCAACTTGCCGCACTCCTCGTGGAACGGCAAGGTCTTGCTTTTGCCCGACAGGAAATACTCCAGCACGCCGACCTGCTTGCTGCTGTGGAACTCTGCCTTGGCGGCATCGTTGGCCTTGGCCAGCGTGCTGATCTGCTCGACCATCTGCGCGATGTCCTGCCTGAACTCGTCCTGCGTCGGAGCTGGCGGAGCGGCGGCGAGGGGCCCGAGGAACCCGTCGGGCTCGTCGATGCGGGCCAGGTCGCCATCGCCGTCGACGGGGGCTGCTATGTCGTCGTCGTCGTCGGTCAAGCTGCCGAACAGATCGAAGCCCTCGTCGTCGAAGTCCGCCCTCTCGGCGGCCTCCAGCGCCGCCGCGACAGCTGGCCGATGAGGCGCAGCAGCAGCAGCGCCAGCAGCACGCAGGCACTCTCGCAACCTCTTGCGAAGAGGCCCCAGCGGCTGCTACATAGCCTGCGGCGCCGCAAACAACACATCCATCCTGTCCCTTCCCGTCCCGTATGTCCTCATCCTCTCACATCCTCCGTACTCCTCCTCCTCCTCACGCCTACGCCTACTCATTCATTGTGTCCTCCATCCTTCCTCCACATCCTTCCTCATATCCTAGGCCTTCTTCCTAGTCCTTGAGTTGTTATCCTGTCACTCCTCACCTCGTCCTCATCTCCTGTTTTCTGACCATGGGCCTTCAGCCTGGCCGCTGAGGCCGTCAGCGGCCTGACGGCGTCGGCCGTCAGGCCGTCCAGGTGGACGTCCTCGAGGTCGCGATGGCCGACGCCGCGGACGTCCACTGCCTACGAGAAGTTCCCCCACTACCTTTCCCCACCGTGGGGAAAGGGAGTGGGAGAACGCCTCGAGGCCCTCGGGGCTCCCCGCCGCCTCGGCGGCGTCGGCCGCCACCGCGCCCCAGCCGGCGGCGGGGCCGCCGAGGGCGGCCTCCTCGGCGGCTGCGGCATTGGCCGCCCAGCCCGCGGCGAGCCCCTCGGAAGCCGCGGCCTCGGCCTCCGCGACGAGGGCCCACCCTGCCCCGCCCCCGCTCATGGCGGGGGGGAGGCTGACAGCCAAAATGGCTAGGGTGGGAGGATGTGGGGGGGCAATATGCGTGGTGCAATCTATGTGGCTCAAGCCATGTAGCACGATATATGTGGTGCAAGCTATGTGGCGTAAGCTATGTGGTGCGCGCTATGTAGTGCATTCGATGGGAAGCAACCTATATGGTGTCACTTTTGTGGTGCAACCTATGTCGAGCAATCTACGTGGTGCAAGCAACGCGGTGCCACATGTGTGGTGTGAGCTATGCGGTGGCAAGCTTCAGAATACATTCTACGCTGTGCAATCCGCCGAGTTTGGGGGTTTTCTTGGAGAGGGAGAGTTGCATGTTTTTGTTAAGTGTTGAATGCCCTTCGTCATTTAGTTGTTCATGTACGTATTGCGTGGACTTCCCGGGGGTGGATGAGACAACATAGACGAGAGAACATACAATGAGAAGCGAGGCGAGGAGTTTTCGAAGTACGCGCCGCTAGCGAAAGAGCTCTGAATCGACTACTTGTTACAAGCCAACAACCCGTCGGAGCCTACTTTTTGTACTTTGGGAGGTACTTTGGGGGGTACTTTGGAACCTACTTGTTAGGCTCGGGGGGTACTTCTATTCCTACTCCGAAACCTACTTTGGGAGGTACTTTGGCCTTTCTGGAACCCTATAGGCCTAGCAGGCACTGCCTTTCACAAGACCAGGGCGGAGACCTGTTGGCTCTGGCGCGGCGGCCCCTGCGACTCCCCCGATGGGCACGGCGGCTCGCTCGGAAGGCTCTCCGGCGCCTCCGGCCGCGCCCTCCCGACGCCCGGCGGCCTCGGCGGCCTCCGCGGCAGGCTCCTCGACGGCCTCGCGGCCGCCCCCAGCCCGGCTACCCCGGGATGGCTCGTCAAAGGCGCCTCCTCTTGCGGTCAGCGCAGAGCTCCTCCTTGAGAGTGATCTCCTCGAAACTTGCGCAGCAGGCGGAGAGCGCCCTGGACTCGGACTCGTCGAACTCGGTGAGGACGCGCATCTCGGCAGCCCCAGGCCCCGTCTCAGCGGCATCCCGGGCGGCCTGGGAACCCCAAGCCTCTCCGCCTCCAGCTGGCTGCTGACGAGCACCGCTGGCGCGGGCCTCAGCAAGCGGCATGCAGGCACATCAGGCCCAGGCACTGCCACGCGACTGTGCCGGCGAAGCTCGGTCCACGGCGGCGAGTCCAGGAACTGCGCCAGCTCTGGTTTGTCCGCCGTGAGGGCGGCAACCTCGTGCACGGAGACCTCGCCGGCTGCGGCCACTGCGCCGGCCTCGTTAGGAGGGGCGGCACAGCCGCCGTCGGGCACCAGGAGAGCCGCCGCACGCCCGAACTCTTTCTGGAGCCCCGCAGCCTCGATCTCCGTAGCGGCGATGGACTGCTTCTTCTCCTCCATGGAGGCCGGCAGCTTCGTGAGATGGTCCTGCTGGACCTCCATCTCCGACCTGAACCTGCCAAGGAGCGCCTTGGCCTTCGACGGGCCCTGCGCTGCGCGACGGTGCGCGGTGCTGGGAGTGCGGAGAGTCTTCTGCAGCGTCTTGAGCTCCGCAACCTTGAGCTCCAGGGGTGCGCGGAGCTCCTTGCACTCGTCACCCTGCGGCATGCTCTTGAGCGAGGCTTCCGGCCCCTGGATATGCAGTGTGACCTGGGCGCGCCCCCCTTCGCCTGAAGACGGGTCCTCGGCGGCCTGGGCGAGGTGGTCCACCCTGTCCTTGTCCCAAGGGTTCGGCTTGATGCCAGGCTGCGCTTTATCCGCGTCCGTAGTCTTAAGTCAGGCGTGTCCCTCTACAGGTGGATTTTGGATAGAAAATAAAAACTACCGAAAATACCCAAACATAATCCAAAATTATCCTGGCGAAGGACCCAACCATATGCAGTTGTGAGTATCGCAATAATGAATATCTTCTTCGGTGGCGCTCCCTATGGGGCCACGAACCGCACGAGGGGCGCGCCGAAATGTGGCGGGGTACACAACGCAAAGGAATACGATAGATCTGATTACGAGAGAAAGAACGCGGGTGAGTCAGAGCGCGAGGGAATCTGAGCATGAATGGGTCTGCGCGCGAGTGAATATATTTGCATGAATGCGATCATGGAAACGCCTAGCGTAAGTGTATATGAATGTGAATGGTTCGAGCATGCCTGTCCGAACACACGCGACACTGGGCGCGGCCGCCGCGGGCAGCTTCCGCGGGAAGCCCGACGGCAGCGCCCGCGCGTCGCGACGCCCTTGTCGGCGCGCCTCTTGCGAGGATCGCGCCCGCTTTCGGCTCTTCTTGCCCTTCCCTTTTGCCCGCGCACTCCAAAATCCAAGGCTGCGGGCGCAGCGCAGCGCGGAGCCCCCGCGACGCGCGCTGGTCGCCCCGGGCGGGGTCCCAGCGACGCGCGCGGGTCGTCCGCTGCGCGAAGCAGAGAGAGCTGACTAGCTAACTGGCTGGCTGATAGCGGGCAAGTCTCTGACCGCTGGGCAGAGCGACGACGGGCGAACGAGGCGCCGGGCCCCCCGCAGCACGGAGTTCCCGCGACGCGCGCTGGTCGCCCCGAGAGGGTCCCAGCGACGCGCGCGGGTCGTCCGCGGCGCGAGGCCAAACAATTAGTCGGGCAGTCGAGAGAAGGCGCGGCTCGGGGGAGACGCTCCTCAGGTCAGGCCTCGCGGATGAACTCGGTGAAGCCGAGCTCCCTGGCGAGGGCCGTCGCTTCCCTCCTGCACCGCTTCGTGCGCGCCGCAAACTGCTCCAGCTGCTTCCGCAAGCCCTGCGGCGGCCCTGCCAGGAAGAACTCGATGCGCGGCGCCCGCATGAGCAGGAGGTCCTCGTGGCGCGTGGCGCGCGAGAGCAGCACGTAGAGCTCCAGCCACCAGTCGTCGTCCTCCTTCTTGCCGTTCCCTACCTCGTGGCGGCCGCAATCCAGGATCACGCCTGGGCGACGTCGACCGAGGGAGCAGCGCGCCGGGCAGCCGACGGCCCAGGGCGAGAGTCCACAGGACCGAGAGATGGTCTGGCCGCGGAGTGCTCGAGGCTTGCCGACGGCACAGGGCGGCGGCACTGAGGCCTTCGGTGGAGCTCCCTATGGGGCCACGAAGCGTGTGAGGGGTGTGCCGAAATGTGTGTGGGTGACGCATGCGGCCGCGGGCACTGGGGCCTTCGGTGGAGCTCCCTATGGGGCCACGAAGCGTGTGAGGGGTTGGCCGAAGTGGATGGGGGTGACGCATGCGGCCGCGGGCACTGGGGCCTTCGGTGGAGCTCCCTATGGGGCCACGAAACGTGTGAGGGGTGTGCCGAAATGTGTGTGGGTGACGCATGCGGCGCGGCCACAATTGGCCGTTCGGTTGGGCTCCCACCCTGTGGGGCCCCAAATGGGTGTGGGGGACGCGATTGCTGGCGGCGCACCGGGCCTTCGGTGGAACTCCCTGTGGGGCCACGAACTGTTGAGGTGGGTGTGCTGTACTGGGCGTTGCGTGACGCATGCGGCGCAGCACTGGGGCCTTCGTGGAGTTTTCCCATGGGGCCCATTGAAAAACGTGGTGAGGGGTTGTGCCGAATTGGGTGTGCGTGACGCATGCGGGCGGCAGCACTGGGGCCTTCGGTGGAGCTCCCTATGGGGCCACGAAACGTGTGAGGGGTGTGCCGAATTAGGTGTGCGTGACGCATGCGGGCGGCAGTACTGGGGCCTTCGGTGGAGCTCCCTATGGGGCCACGAAGCGTGTGAAGGGTGTGCCGAACTGGGTGTGCGTGACGCATGCGGGCGGCAGCACTGAAGCCTTCGGTGGAGCTCCTTATGGGGCCACGAAACGTGTGAGGGGTGTGCCGAATTGGGTGTGCGTGACGCATGCGGCCGCGGCCACTGGGGCCTTCGGTGGAGCTCCCTATGGGGCCATGAAACGTGTGAGGGGTGTGCCGAATTGAGTGTGCGGGGCATGCGGGCGCGGGCACTGGGGCCTTCGGTGGAGCTCCCTATGGGGCCACGAAACGTGTGAGGGGTGTGCCGAATTGGGTGTGCGTGACGCATGCGGGCGGCAGGAGGGGGGAGGAGGCAGCGGGAGGAAGGAGAACGCGGGGCACCGTCTCTTCAAAACGAGGACCCAACACCACAGGATGGTTGGGAAATAATAGAAATATCGTCCCAAAACTATTTTTACCATTTTCGACTATTCCTCCTGTAGAGGGACAAACCAGACTTAACCGTAGCCGTGGCAGGGTCGGCGACTCCCTGCAGCGAGGCGACCCGCGTGCGAAACGGGGATTTATGGACAGGCTTGCGCCGGCAGCGGCGGGCGAACCGGGCTTCCTCCGTCCGTCGGCAGTTCCAGGACCGCGCTGATGGAGAGGCTGCTTGTTGGAGGCCTGGAGATTGGCACCAGCACCAACACGGGGGGGGGGCCTCCACAGGGGGAAGATGATCCTCGATTGCGGTGGTGGTCATGTTTCGGTCGCCTTGGAAGCCAAAATATGGCCACCTTCACCGAGACCAGGGTCCTCTTCCCTCGGCGGAGGCACACCGCCGATGTTGGTGTCGGTGTCAACCTCCAGGCCTGCGACAGCGCTTGTTCGCCTCCCCTGCACGAGCGCGGGCGGCAGCAGGAGCCGCGCGCCCAGTGGCGGGCGCAGCCGCAGCCCCCACAGCCCCGTTCAGGCTTGCGCGGTCCCAGCAGTGATGGGCCTGCTTTCCACCACCACCACAAGTTGGAGGGGGAGGGGGTCCTCCTCCTCCTCCTCCTCCTCCTCCTCCTCCTCCTCCTCCTCCGACTCCGACTCCGACTCCGACTCCGACTCCTCCTCCTCCTCCTCCGACTCCGACTCCGACTCCGACTCCGACTCCGACTCCGACTCCGACTCCGACTCCTACTCCGACTCCGACTCCGACTCCGACTCCGACTCCGACTCTGACTCCGACTCCGACTCCTCCCCCTCCAACTCATGGTGGTGGTGGTGGAAAACAGGCCCGTCAAGCTGGACATCCGAAGCGGAGCCCGTGGCCGTGGACAGCGCTTGCGGCACGCGAATGCTCCCGCAGGACCTCACGGAAACCTGCAACGCCGGGCGGCTGAGGCAGGAGTGCGGGGCATGAGATCGCCCGGGGGGCACTCGAGCCTGCCCCCTCGGCTGCACTCAAGCTCCAGCGTTGGGAGCCACGTTGGAACTTGAGCCAGAATGGCTACGGACGGAGGAGGAGGAGGAGGAGGAGGAGGAGGAGCAGGAGGAGGAGGAGGAACAGGAGGAGGAACAGGAGCAGGGACAGGAGGAGGAGGAGGAGCAGGAGCAGGAGGAGGAGGAGGAGGTTGGGGCCTGTCGCTGCTCCTGAGCGCGCCCTCCCCGGTCCGAGCCTTCGGCGCTGCCGGCTGCGGCCGCCGCCGCGACGGGCTGTGCGTCGGAGGCGGCGGAGGACGGCTCTGCGGTCATCGCCAGGGCCTGGCGCCGAGAGGGGGGCGAAAAACGGAGAAAAGCAGCAAGAAAAAAAAAACGCCGGGGAGGGCCCGAGTTGCCTCGAGCGACCCCCCCTGAGCCTCGAGCTGCATCGGCACGACGAGAACCAGCAGCGCATGGCTCCCAAGCCCCGCCGGCCCCTCGGGCCGACCAGAGCAGGGCCCATCTCGACTCGATCGATCCTGGGGGATCCAGACAATACCGATACCGAACCAGCTTTCATTTCGAATAGCATTTGACAGTCCCGAGGCCCAGTAGGGGCCCCGAGAGGCCCGCAACGACGAGAAAAATCCGTCTCGTTGTTTGCTCGACTTGCCAAATGTCTGGGATTTCCTCCACCAGAACACGTACGGCTTGAAATCGATCGGTTCGGTCCGACCCGATCCCGATACTCCAACGATGCGATGCGCGCGAAGTCCGAGAGGAACCCGCCGCTGCCCCAGGGGCGCGGGCCGCAACCGGCGGCGCCTCGCAGATGGTCCCCAGCTGCGACGCCACGTGCTGGCGCAGACGCCAGGTCTCGGCGCGGCCCATCGCCGCCTGCGGGCCCCCTCCTCCTCCTCCTCCTCCTCCTCCTCCTCTCCTCCTCCTCCTCCTCCTCCTCCTCCACCTCCTCCTCCACCTCCGACTCCGTCTCCGACTCCTCCTCCTCCTCCTCCTCCTCCTCCTCCTCCTCCCTCCCCCTCCTCCTCCCCCTCCTCATCCTCATCCTCAGCCTCATCCTCATCCATCAATCATCATCATCATCATCATCATCATAATCATCATCATCTCGCATCATCAGCATCATCTCATCATCATCATCATCACCATCAATCAGCAGCAGCACAGTCAGCAGCAGCATCAGCATCAGCATCGCATCAGCATCGGCATCATCAGCAATCATCATCATCATCATCATCATCATCATCATCATCATCATCATCAATCATCATCATCATCATCATCATCATGATCATGATCATCATCACACACCAGCCCCATCACCATCACATCATCATCATCATCATCTCATCATCATCATCATCATCATCATCATCATGCTCATCCTCATCATCATCATCATCATCACCATCACCATCACATCATCATCATCATCCCATCAGCTCATCATCACCATCATCATCATCTCATCCTCATCCTCATCATCATCATCATCAGCATTTCCAGCAGCGCTATCCTCAGCAGTAACCTTGAGTCATCATCATCATCATCATCATCA